CCTAGGTGTCGCCTTGACAACTATGATTGTACCCTTAAATTCATGTTTCTAGTAAGCCATTTAAACTTTTTCACCTTAAATTCATGTTTCTAGTAAGCCATTTAAAATTTTTCATCGCATTCCTATAACTCCATATTATGGACTCTGGTTCTTTGAGCCATCCCACGACCAACATAGAGTCCCCATCAATCACCACATTTATCATATTAAGTTGATTTGCAGTCTGTACATCTTTCACTATAGAAAGAAATTCAACTCTAATAGAGTCACCCAAACCCACTGGACCCAAAAACAAAGCAGTCACATCACCCTCTGTGTCTCCCATTACCCCTCCTATCCCAGAGGGGCCGGGGTTACCTTGACTGCTTCCATCAAAATTCAATTTCACATAACCTTCTAGAGGAGGCTGCCATACAGGTTTTGTTTTTTTCCGTTTTTGAAGAACTTCTTGCAATCACTTCCCAATTCCTCCAAACATCATCAAAAGAAAACACTGAGAACAAGTCCAAAGTCCTAATCCAAACAATAACCCTAGTCATCACAAGTTATCCCAATTTCTTCTTTTCTGAGAATATTCTTGCATTCCTTTCTTCCCAAATAATCCAAACCATAGCTGCTCTCACACATCTCTACATAATTCCTCCCCTCTTTTTAAGCCAACCTGTTTCACTTCCATTTCCTAATGCGCACATTTATCACCATTAATCTTTTAGATCATTCAAAAAAATCAAGTGAAAATGGTGGAATAATTGAAGTGTACCTTGAAGGGACTTGAACATTTTCCCATTCTGAGCAATTGACCTTTTTAATATGCAATCGTAAAATATTCTTGAGGCCCCTACATACATGGGTTTTATGAATGAATATTAATATAATTAGTAAAGAAAATATGAATGTGAAATGTTAACAATGCATTTCTTAAGTTAAAAAACAAAAGCGTAGTCAATAACTTAAAATAGCTTATATGGACTAGAACTAGAATGTAAAAAAAAAAAATATGAATGGAACAAAATTACAATGCAGTTTAACTATGCTTGCAACTGCTAAAAATTGTTAGATACAATTACTATACCTTCCAGATATATGCTTTCAAACATATTGTTAGAGTGACTAGACAGGGGCATTTCAGTCTTTTCCATATCAGTAATGTATGAGTTATATGCCTTCTGTCTAGACAGGGGAATTTCTGTCCTTGTACACTTATTTACTAAGTCTAAATACATGGTCGACTGGGTTAGACTTCTCAGTTCGACACTTTTCTCCTTTCTTCTTCTTCTTCTTCTCTCTTCTCAGTTCAGCTGAACACTAACATGGTATCAGAGCGCCACTAATAGAAGTCAACTGCAGCTTTCTTCTCTCCTCCTCCATCTTTCTTTTCCATTTTTTTCTGGTGTAAGAAATCTGGGTTAGAGGACTGCGAAGAAACCCGGGTTTCTGTAGCAACATCTAGGGTTTCGGTGGGTTAACTTCTAGTGACAGTAGACGACTGCAGCAGTTTGAGTGAACAAGGAAAAAAATTTGTGTGTGGACTGCTGTCACTATGTGTGACAGCTGTGGTGGTCGAGTAGGTGCAGTAGTTGTGGTCTGAACCCTCTAATGAGCAGCTTCAAGAGGGATTCACTGTGTTTTTAAATCTGCCTGATCACAGATCAGTGGTGTTCAAAGTGACCGAATGCAAGCTAGGGCAAGCTCGTGGTGACTATAAGTGTGCTGGTGTGGAAGTTGAAGAACAGTAATGCAGTGACTGAAACTTCTCTTTTGTGTGTCTGACGGGCAGAACCAGTTTCGTAGACTGAAATGRCGTCGGTGGGTGATTCGAGTGGTGACCAGAAATCGACTGTGATGATCTCCTCTGATTTTTTAAGTGTCTAGATGGCATCCATCAAACTCAACGGTGAAAACTATGTTCCGTGAGCCAAGTCGGTGGAAGTGTTTCTGAAGGCTAAGAAGAAAGTGAAACATGTACGGGAGGAGAAACTGAGTGCTGAATCCCCGGGTTCTAGTGACTGGGAGCAAGAGGATGCTCAGATCATGACATGATTGTGGAACAATGTGAAGCCTAAAATCAGTGTTAACTTCATGTTTTTAAATACAGCAAGGGATATATGGGAACATTCCAAGAAACTCTATTCTGGACAAGACAACACTACAAGGGTTTATCAGCTTTATCAAGAACACTTCAGTTTGCAGCAGGGAAATCAGATTCTTGAAGAATATTATGCCTGTATGAAAAATCTTCAGAATGAACTTAACGTCTATCATCCCTTAACATCGGACGTTAAAATTCAGCAACAACAAAGGGAACAATTAGATGTTACACAGTTCTTGGTGGGACTGAAAGCAGAGTATGAACCTATCAGAGCACAGATATTGGGAGGATCTGCTCGCCCTACTCTAGAAGACGTGTTTGCTCGTCTCCATAGGATATCTCTTAGCCCCGTAGAGAGTAATATAACTTCCGACAGATCAGCGCTGGTTAGTACTCGAGGTGGTTCTTATGGGCACAGAGGAGGTGGTCATACAGTTAAGGGAGGCCGTGGTAATCCTATGGGTGGTTGTACCAATGGAGGAGGTCATGGCAGAGGAAGGGGGAGCACAACAAGGAAGTGCACACAGTATGGGAGAGGACACACAATTAACTTTTGTTATGATTTACATAGCCCACCATCCACATGGGCTAATCACACAGCTATTGGTGGCAATGAAGTCAGTGATACTCAACCAGTTGATCCAACATCTTTGACAGTCAGAACTACTTCTGGGAAGGAGATGATGAGCATTCCCAAAGAGGAGTATGAGAGATTTCTTCAGGCCACTTCACATCAGAACACTGCCACCCTTGCTCATTCAGGTATAGCCTGCCTAGCATCCAAACCTTCACCCTAGATAAATGACTCTGGAGACTCTAGAGCCTCTGATCACATGACCGGGACTCCAGGTGTGTTTCCCTCCCTTTCTCCAACCTCTACATCAAATAATGTTACCCTTGCCAATGGATCTACTTCCCCCATCTACGGTGTTGGTAATGTTACCACTGCATCTCTATCTTTGTCTTTTGTCTTATACGTTCCCAAGTTTCCTTTTAATCTTACGTCTATTAGTAAACTAACCAAATCCCCCAATTGTTTTATCACATTTTACCCTTCCTCTTGTGTTTTTCAGGATCTAACAACGGGGAAGAAGATTGATGGAGGGCATGAACCTGGTGGATTGTATTATCTTGATGGTGGAGGCTCTACAGTTGCGCTTCAAACCTCCTTGACTTCGTCTTTGCAATGTGAGTCGTGTCAGTATGAGAAACACCATCAGGTTTCATTCAGTCCTAGAGTTGATAGGCGTATGTTGAGTCCTTTTGATTTAGTTCATTCAAATGTTTGGGGTCCAATTAGGATTGAGTCGTACAATGGTTACAGATATTTTCTTATCTTTGTTGATACCTGTTCAAGAATGGCATGGCTTTATTTAATGAAAGAAAGAAGTGAATTATTTTCCATTTTCCAAAAATTTCATGCTGAAGTGCGTACCCAATTTGGTRTTTCACTTAAAATTCTTTGTTCTGACAATGGTAGAGAGTATTTTCTTTCTTCCTTTTAGCAATACCTGGAACAACATGGTATTATTCATCAAACATCTTGTGCCCACACTCCTTAGTAAAATGGGGTGGCTGAGAGAAAGAACCGACATCTACTTGAAACAGCTCGGTCTCTTCTTCATCATATGAATGTTCCTAAACGATTCTGGAGTGATGCAGTCTTTACTGCTTGTTTTCCCATTAATCGCATCCCCACATTCATTCTTGATGGTCATTCTCCGTTCTCTACCTTGTTTCCTACTTTGTCTCCATACCCCCTGACTCCCAGGATCTTTGGGTATGTGTTCTTTGTCTAAAATCTTGGTCCTGGTTTAGACAAGTTGGATGCTCACTCCATTAAATGTATCTTCCTTGGCTATTCTAGGGCCCAGAAAGGGTATAAATGCGACAATCCTATTACTTGGAAATCCTTTGTTTGTCCAAATGTTACATTTTTTTAATCAGTGCCATACTTCTCTGGTTCTGATATCTATCCTTTGCCTATGAAGGTTCCTCTTCCTCTTCCGGTTGATAATTCGATCCCGGTGGTTCCCCTTGTGCCTGAGTCTCCCCCGGTCCCATTGCAGGAGTGTACCGAAAGACCACCAATTCGTCAAGTGTATACTCATCAACAGAGACCAGCACCTCCACCACCTTCTACTCTGGCGGCAGATCCAACACCTTCCACAACTGAATTGGCCTCTGATCTTGACCTTCCTATTGCACTGCGGAAAGGTAAACGTAGTTGCACGTTACACCCCATATCCAATTATGTTTCTGTATCTCACCTTTCTACTTCCCATTGCCAGTTTATTACCCTGTTGTCCTTTGTATCCATACCTAAGGATGTTCAGGAGGCTCTTACATCACCAGGGTGGCGAAAAGTTATGGAAGAAGAACTCTCTACTCTTCATCACAATCATACATGGGAACTCACCACTCTTCYCCCAGGTAAGCATGTTTTGGTTGTAAATGGGTGTATGCTATTAAGTATATACCAGATGGGAGAGTGGAACGCTTGAAAGCTTGTTTAGTTGCAAAAGGGTACTCTTAACTTTATGGTGCAGACTATGTCAAAACCTTTTCTCCAACTGCAAAGATTGGCTCCGTACGTGTGTTGATTTCCTTAGCTGTCATGCATGATTAGCCTCTATTAAAGCTTGATATCAAAAATGCCTTTCTCCATGGGGATCTTCTAGAGGAGGTGTACATGGAGCAACCACTAGGGTTTGTTGCTCAAGGGAGGATGGTAAGGTGTGTAAGCTCAAGAAGGCGATTTATGGGCTCAAACAGTCTCCCCATGCTTGGTTTGGAAAATTTAGTGAGGTGAAGGAGTTCGGAATGAGACAATGTCAAGTTGATCATTCAGTATTTAGCTATAACTCTATGGTCGGGAAGAACTTGCAGGTAGTTTATGTGGATGACATAGTCATAACTAACAGTGATAGAGTTGGGATTGATAGATTGAAGACTTTCCTACAAGATTACTTTCAGACAAAAGATCTTGATAAGTTGAAGTATTTCCTAGGCATAGAAGTTGCTAGATCAAAGCAAGGCATAAACCTCGGTCAGCAGAAATATGTACTTGACCTGTTGGAAGAAACAGGGTTACTAGGTGCTAAACCAGTTGAAACTCCCATGGAACTGAATGTGAAGTTGGGAAGTGACACAGGTGAATTGTTTGAAAACCCTGGAAGATATAGAAGGCTAGTGGGAAAACTGAATTATCTAACTATCACTAGGCCTAATATCTCATTTGTTGTCAGCATGGTAAGCCAGATTATGTAGAGTCCTCGGGTACCTCATTGGGATGCAGTTCTTAGGATTGTGCGGTATTTGAAGGGGGCTCTAAGTCGTGGGTTACTGTACAAGCCAAGAGGTGATCTTGAAATAGTTGGATACACCGAAGCAAACTGGGCTAGATCTGTATCAGACAGAAGATCCACTACAAGTTATTGCACCTTTCTTGGAGGAAATCTTGTGACTTAGAAGAGCAAGAAGTAGACTATGGTAGCAAGGAGTAGTGCAGAAGCAGAATACAGGGCCATGGCACACACTGCATGTAAACTAGTGTGGTTGAAGAATCTATTGCAAGAAATCGAGTTCTCAATAAGCAAACCCATGAAGCTATATTGTGACAATCAGGCTGCAATTCACATCTCATCCAACCTAGTTTTCCAAGAGAAAACAAAACACATAGAGGTAGGTTGTCACTTTGTAAGGGAAAAGGTCATCAATGGTGTGATAAGGACAGAGCATGTGAGAAT